CACGGGGTTGTGGCCTCCCTGGGGGGGGACTTCCACAAGTTCGGTCTCATCTCAGGAGCTTGGTGATCTTGGAGGGGGAAATTCAGAGGCATCTGGGGGACGCTAATGCCCCACCAAGGTTTTTTTGGGGGGGTTCTGTGAGCTCCTCTCTGCTTTTAGACATGAGTGCCTGCACATAGACGTAAAGGAGGAGGAGATTTACTAGCGGGTGCCTTGGACACACGGCCAAGGTGGCTCCTTCCTTCACCCCAGCATGTGGGACCACCACACCCAAGAGCCCCAGCATCTCCATGAGGACTTGTGGGTCCAGGGAGAGGAAGACGTTTAAGAAACGCCGCCTTCCTGGCAAAAACTGGGTGGGCATCCATCTCGCCGTGGGAGGTGGTGAGTGGTGGCCTCTGCATCACTCCTTCTCCTTCTTCTCCTTCTCCTTCTCCTCCTGCTTCTCCTTCTCCCTCTCCCTCTCCTTCTCCCTCTCCTTCTCCTCCTTCTCCCTCTCCTTCTTCTCCTTCTCCTTCTTCTCCATCTCCTCCTTCTCTTTCATCTTTCTTTCTTCTTCTCTTCTCCTTCTCCATCTTTCTCCTCCTTTTCCTTTCCTTCTTTCCTTCTCCTTCTTCTTCTTCTCCTTTCTCCTCCTTCTCTTCCTCCTCCTTATCCTCCTTCTCCTCCTCCTTCTCCTTCTCTTCCTTCTCCTCCTTCTCCTCCTCCTCCTCCTCCTTCTACTCTTTCTCCTTCTCCTTCTTTCTCCTCCTCCTCCTCCTCCTTCTCCTTTCTCCTCCTTCTTCTTCTCCTTTTCTTACTCCTCCTTCTACTCTTTCTCCTTCTCCTTCTCTTTCTCTTCTCCTTATCCTCCTCCTTTCTCCTCCTTCTCTTCCTCCTCTTTCTTCTTCTCCTTTTCTTACTCCTCCTCCTTCTCCTCCTTCTCCTTCTCTTTCTCCTTCTCCTCCTCCTCCTCCTTCTCCTTTCTCCTCCTTCTCTGTCTTTGTCCTCCTTCTCCTTCTCCTCCTCTTATTAAACTATTTTTATCTCCACCCAGGAGTTTTCTCACTTTTACTCTTCTTTTGCTCTTCCCGGGTTCACCCACAGTGGGTGGGAGCAGCCCAGTGCTGCCCCACCCCAACCTGACCCATCTCCATCACTGGTCCTCCCGGGGGATGTGATCTGTCTTTGTCCTCCTTCTCCTTCTCCTCCTCTTATTAAACTATTTTTATCTCCACCCAGGAGTTTTCTCACTTTTACTCTTCTTTTGCTCTTCCCGGGTTCACCCACAGTGGGTGGGAGCAGCCCAGTGCTGCCCCACCCCAACCTGACCCATCTCCATCACTGGTCCTCCCGGGGGATGTGATGATTTTGGGGGTGGGGTGGGGGGAAGTGGGGGGTAGAGGAGGAGGAGGGATGGATAAAAAGGAGGAAGGATGGAGAAGAAGGAGGGATGGAAGAGGAAGAGGGATGGAGAAGGAGAAGGAGGGATGGAGGAGGAAGAGAGGAGGAGGGGAAGGAGGGATGGAGGAGGAGGGATGGAGAAAGAGAAGGAGGAGGGACGGAGGAGAAAAAGGCATGGAGAAGGAGGAGGGATGGAGAAGGAGAAGGAGGAGGAGGGATGCAAGAGGAATAGAGGGGGAGGGATAGAGGAGGAGGAGCAGGAGGAGGCGGAGGAGGGACGGAGGAGGAGCAAGAAGAGGAGGCGGATTGGAGGATGGAGGCGGAGCAGGAAGAGGAGGAGGAAGAGGAGGGATAGAGGAGGAGCAGGAGCAGGAAGAGGAAGGACGGAGGACGAGGAGGAGGGGGAAGCATGGAGAAGGAGGCGGGATGGAGGAGGAGCAGGAGGAGGAGTGATGGAGGAGGGGGAGGAGAAGGAAGAGGAGGAGGAAGAGGAGGAAGCAAGCGACTGTATCCGGGTCACACGAGGAGCTGCTTCCACAGGGACCACCGAACCCCCCCCCTCCCCCCCCCGCATCCCACAGGCACCCGCCTACCGCCAGGTCCAGGTGGACGCTGGGGGTTGAGGAGGCTTTGGGTGAGGTGGTGGTTGGGTCTTGCCCCACGCATGGGTCCTACCACCAGGTCCAGGTGGATGCTGGGGATTGAGGAGGCTTTGGGTGAGGTGGTGGTTGTGTCCTGCCCCACACATGGGTCCTACCACCAGGTCCAGGTGGACACTGGGTGTTGAGGAGGCTTTAGGTGAGGTGGTGGCTGGTCCCTGTCCCACCCATGGATTGCGAGTGACCGTGGGACCCCATCACTGCATCCTCTTGTCCAGGTCTTCCCGATGGAGCAAGGGGTGGGGCTCTGGATGTGGTGGGAAATGGTGGCAAGGAGGAGAAGCCCCATGGGCCGGTGGGCAGCCGGGAAGGAGAAGGCCACGATCATTCTCCCACAGCCCAGAGGTCCACATGGACCATCTCTGTCTGGTGACCCTCAACAGATCTCTTTCCCATCGCCTTTTTATGCGTCCTCATGCGTTGCCCTGACGTGGGTTTGGGATCTCTGTCCCTGCAGCTGACGGGATGGAGGATGGGAGCGAGGACCCCGAAGGATCAGAGGTGCTCTTGGACCTGTGCGTGGTGGACATCCCTCAAGAGCCGAACCCGACGGCGCCGCTTGAGGGTCAACCACAAGAAGCCTCCGAAGAACCAAGCGATGAGTCCCGCGGACGCCCGTCGCCGAGAAAGGGTGGGCGGCTGCGAGCCCGCCGCGGGAGCCGCGCGACGGAGAGGACCTACGGCCTCAAGAAGAGTGGGAAGAACGTCGCCGGGAAGGCGGAAGGGGCCATGCTCAAGGCCCTCTATAGCTGCCCCGACTGCGAGAAGATCTTCAGCCGGAGATCTTTCCTCATCTCCCACCAGCGCATCCACACCGGTGAGAAGCCCTTCACCTGCCACGAGTGCGGGAAGGGTTTCCGAGTTGGGTCGGCCCTCAACAAGCATCAGAGGATCCACACGGGCGAGAAACCTTACGAGTGCTCGGACTGCGGGAAGCGTTTCCGCCTCACCTCCACCCTCAGCACCCATCGGAAGACCCACACTGGGGAGAAACCCTACGTCTGCCTCGTTTGCGGGAAGAGCTTTCGGTTGAGCGTGTATCTGCTGGCCCACGAAGCCACCCACAAGGTGGACAACGCTTTTCGGTGTCTGGCGTGCGGGAAGAACTTCAGCTTGAGGAGGTACCTGACCATTCATCAACGGATCCATACGGGGGAGAAGCCCTACAAGTGCTCGGCGTGCGGGAAGCGCTTCAGCCGGAGATCGATCCTCGTTGTTCACCAGCGGGTCCACACCGGGGAGAAACCCTACAAGTGCCCCGAATGCGGGAAGAGCTTCCTCATGAGTTCAGACCTCCTCGCCCACCGGAGGATCCACACTGGGGAGAAACCCTACAGCTGCCTCGAGTGCGAGAAGAGCTTTCGGTTGAGCTCCCACCTTACGAGACACCAACGAAGCCACACCGGGGAGAGACCCTACAGATGCGTGGATTGCGGGCAGAGCTACACAGACAGCTCCGGCCTCATCAAACACAAGAAGATCCACGCGGAAAAGAAGCAGAGGACATCTCACGAAGCCCGCCCGGGGGAGGGCCGGTATCAATGTCCCTACTGTAGCAAGAGCTTCCACACCAAGTCAGCTCAGGTCCTTCACCGCGGCACCCACACCGACGAGCGACCCTATAGGTGCTCCAAGTGCGAGAAGACCTTCCGCCACAGCGCGACCCTCCTGAAACACCAACGGATCCATACGGGCGAGAGACCCTTCCAGTGTCCCATCTGCGAGAAGTCCTACACCGACAGCTCGACCCTGCGGAGACACCGGAGGAGCCACGGCGAGGAGAAACCCTACGAGTGTCCCGCTTGCGGGGAGTGTTTCGGTGCCGTCGCGGCTCTCCTGAAGCATCAGCGGTTCCACACCGAGGGGAGACCTTACAGGTGCTCCGACTGCGGGAAAAATTTCCACTCCAATTTTCTCCTCGTCACCCACCGACGGATCCACACGGGAGAAAGACCCTACGCTTGCCCCGTCTGTGCCAAAACCTTCCGCCAGGCCTCCCACTGCACGAGGCACCAGGAGCTCCACGGGAGGAGCGGGGCTGGCGTCACTTGGCGTGAAGGGAAGACCCCGGCCCGGGGTGGGAGCGGAGGTGCTTCCACAGCTCGACAGTAGAAGACGTTGAGGTGCTCCAAGTCCATCAGCTGGTCCAAGTTACTCATCCAATGAAGATGTGCCCCGTGTCCTACTTGATAGCCGTAGTTGTGTCTTTGCGTGCCCAGATACCAGTTTGAGCCCAGTATTAGCGAGTTACTGGTGACACGCGGTTCCTACGTCAATATTTTTGTAGCCCCAACCCTTATTCTTCTCACCCTGAGGACATGGAGTGCCCGTGGGCTAAAGCTCTGATGGCTCTCATCTCCAAGTCCATCTCCTCCCAAACTCATCACAACCAACTCTCCAACCATCGTTCTCCACCCAACCTCAACTTCGTCCCCCGTAATTCCCGAAGTAGGTCCCGACGTGATTTGGGACGCTCCACAACGCCTTGTAGCTCCCAAATCGTTCTTCAGATGATGAGAGCGAGCAGTCCAGACTGGAGCCACCTCCTCGTTTAGCGTTGATGAGGGATGGCTCGCCCGGCTCCGTCAACTCAACTTATGCCCATGTAGGGACCTGCTGGGCTTTTTTTGGGGACCAGTGTGGAAGTCCACCATGGGATTGGTGGCCAAGTCCTGCTCAATAAGCTAGATGCAACGATTACCTCGCTGGGAAAGCTTCGTTTGCTCTTGCAGTCGTTACTTAAGCTGGGGATTGGCCCGTGGTTGGCCCCAAACGCTGTCCCTTGATGAGAACGTCCAATTTACGGTGACCACACGCGTGCTAAATGCCTTCTGGGTGACCCAAGGGAAGTTTTCCTTGGCTTGGAGTTGCCTTCAAACCCCAATCCAAGCTGAAACCTCAAGAGAAAGTGACACCAGAAATCTCCCTGCTGTGGGTCCAAGCTAGAAGCCTCGTGAGGAGGTGACACCAGAAGTCTATGAGCTGTGGGTCCATGCTGAAGCCTCAAGGTGACACTAGAAATCTCCCTGCTGTGGGTCCAAGCTAGAAGCCTCAAGAGAAGGTGACACCAGAAGTCTCCCTGCTGTGGGTCCGAGCTGAAAGCTCATGAGGAGGTGACACCAGAAGTCTGAAACCTCATGAGGAGGTGACACCAGAAGTCTCCCTGCTGTGGGTCCAAGCTGAAACTTCAAGGTGACACCAGAAGTCTCCCTGCTGTGGATGCAAGCTGAAAGCTCAAGAGAAGGTGACACCAGAAGTCTACTTTCTGAAATTCATGAAGCTAACTGAGATGGTGCCACCAAGTGTCACCTACAAGCTTGGTGGCACCTGGGGAAACTTTGCTGAGGATGGAGAGGTGGACATAGCTGAACTATGGGAGACGCTGCTTCAGAAGGAACCTACCCCGTTGCATCGTTGGGTCTACACCAAGGTCCACCTCGTGGCCAACACCCCCAGGAGGGAATGGCCACCAGGAGATGTTGAAGACCTCATTCCAGAGCCAAGAACGGCGCCCACGGGTGGAGGAAATTCCTTCTGAACCCCAAACCGGTGCCTGAATTCCCTTGAGGGAGCCATCAACCCCCCCAGGAACCCCCCCCGAGATAAAAAAATCAGGAAAATCCCATAAAATGTCCCAAAAAAGAGTGGGAACGTCGTGGTGGGAATCCATTTTTGGACTTTTTCTCCCACCTTTCCGGTCGGTGATTGGTCCGGATGACGCTTCCTCCTCCAGAAGAAGACCAGCGGGGAATTGGAGATGCTCCTGGCCCTTCAATTATGATAATATATACATATTAAAATTAATTTATGAGTGAACGAGTGGATTTACTGCTGCGGGTCGTTAACGAGGGGGTTTCGGGG